ATCAACTTTAGTTAGAACAAAAAATATTTTTTTAATACAAATCAAATATAATTATATCTCATCAAAAATCTAATGAGCAAATCGTAACTACAACTAAAATCGAGCAAATTTATTATAAGTATAGCTTTACCATAGCAATTACAAATATTCATCAAGTACGTAAATCCACTTTATAATGCAAAGGAAAGAAGTGGTACGTTTCTATCATTTGAAACACAAATATTTTGATAAGCACATGATAACTAGGTTCATTGTTAAACTAATTAAAATATAAATAACAAATAAATAAATACTGAGCCTTGTTCAATTTTTTAAGGTGAGAGCCATACCTTAATAATTTAAAATATTTAAAATACTTAAAAGTACAAATAAATCGATGTGTAAACTTGCTGGTAAATGCAATACATGTTTATAAATAAGGTTAAAAATCATTTGTATCTCTAAACTTTACCCGAAACAGTCACTGGATAATTTAAACTCAATTATAAATCAATTATGTTGCCCAACATTAAAGATTCTCTCCATTATCACTCTGATATTAACTTCTTATCACTTAATCATTAGTGGCTCCACATTATATTTTTAATATTTTTTATTATAAAATATTTGAGTTTAAAGTGCCCCCTAATCCTTTAAGGTAAGTTAAATAACAAAAAATAACCCTTAACCAAATATTTTATAATAAAAATATTAAAAAAATGCAATATAAAACCCACTAAAAGTGAAGTAATAGTAAGTTAACATTAAGGTGATGATGGAGGAATTTTTAACCTTGCAAAACATAATTGACTCATAATTAAGTTTACAATACCCGGTGATGTTTTTAGGTAAAATTGATGGATAAAAATAAATCTTAATCCTAATAGTTAAATGGTACTATCAAAGATAGAAATCAAAACAATATTTTTTAAAAAAAAATAATTTTAATTTAATAATAAGAGTTTAATAGAAGCATTTGCTCAAAAAGATGTTTCTTCAAATAAACCTACGTGACAGGAGATATTTGTCATGGATACACAGCCCATATGAAAAAATCCTCAATCAAGTGCGGTGTTTGCTACGAATGACATGCACAACCTGAAGACCATGAATAGCAAGCGCAGTTCGAAGGCCACGAATAGCAAGTGCAATTTGAAGACCACAAACAATATGCATAGTTCACAAGGATAAGTAGCAAATTTAGCACAACTTAAAACCACAAATATCAAGCATGAAGGCATAATTTATAAGAGTAAATAACATATTCAGTTTGGCAAGATGTCACAAAAAATAACCATAAGTGTAAAGCTCACGTGACAGGTGCTATATTTAGTCCCTTTATACGTGTTTCACAATTTTATATGAAATTCCATTCCTTCAATCCATATTTCTCTTGTAAAATAAATACATAAATTCTACAGAACATTCATAAACCATATTTCAAACGTCCTCTCAAGTGCATTGCATTATGTAACACACCAAATTTTTTTTTTAAATAATTTAACTCAACCATAGTTGAGTTACAGCCACCCAACACATTTTTATATCAATAATTTTAATATAAAATATTTTATAATTGGCTTCAACTCACACACTATAACATTTTAGATAAATTTTTATCTCCCACATGCCATTAGGCTAAATCACATTTGTCCATCCTTATACTCCCAACAAGTAAACTAAATCACATTTGTCCATCTTTATACTCCCAACGAGTAAAATAAGCAATTTAATAAATTTTCAACACAAGCCAGTTATTTGGCATTATAATCATGCCATTTTAACCAATCCAAAGTAAACCAAATATTAAAATTACAGTCATTCAAATTGTACCAAAAATAGAAATAGTTTGAAAGGTATAATTACATTTATATATTCATATAATTGACAATAAACAAAAAGCCCTAATATTGGCAATATAACACATTATAAATCATAAATTAAATACCCAAAAGAGACAGTGGATCTATACCACTAAGCCTCTGGGACTCCTCCACGTGTCACTCGTGGCTCTTCTCCTGAAAATTGTTAACCACATAATAAGACTCAAAAGTCCCAGTAACCAAAGCCAATTTATGATAGTGTATACAAACAGTTAAGTGTGTGCTTACTAAGTGAGAATTAAAAATAATATAATTTCAACAAATATAAGAAATATTACAATATACACAAACAACCATCCTTATATCCCTCCATTAACCTCGAGCCGTAGCCCTCACTCGGTGCTAAATTACTGGCCAAAGGTAGATTAGCCCGAGCCCTTACAAGCCACTTATTGAGCTCCAATAGGACGTGGCACATAAATACAACAATAATAGCAAGTCTCCCAACACCTCCCACAATAATTAAACAAATTCATAATAATATTGCACAATTATACAATATTACAAAATTCATAATTTTCTCAATAATCACCTAATTAACATGAAGTAACACTAATCACAAATTAAAAACATGGTTACCTTGTGGCTTTTTCAATAAATTATTCCTTAAAATTTCTCTTTCATCACAATCTTCACCAGTAATACAATCTACAAATAACATATTATTTATAAATATTAGTTTCAATTTTTGAAACTAATAAAATAATTCTAATAATAGAATTAAAAATATAACATAATTCTTAATCTCAATCTTAATACAAATCTATAGTTAATACTATTAAGTAAAATTTTTAACTCCTCTTTTAATTATCAATAAATATTAATAATCTAAAAATCAACTTCTAAACTAATTTCTATTATCAAAATTTTCTTTTTATTTCATAAATTCGTACCTAAAATACCCAAAAATTAAAAATTGAGTCTCTAGCTTAGAATCATAATCCTATAACCATAATAATTCATTTCTCATCCCAAATAATCATCTAAACCTCAATAAATCAACATATATTTTCAGATCTAGTTTAGAATTTGATCCATAAGCTACAGATTCAAAGATCATCAATAAATTTATACTCTAGAACATTTATTATACTATTGACAACCTCAAAAATCATATTTATTCAACATAAATTCATCCCTCTTCCAAATCTTAAATTTTCTACCACTACAAACTCAGAAATCAAAGAAGAAGGATGACTAAGAAAAATTTTTAGAACACTTACTTAGTCTTAAAAAGCTTAAAATCACACCCTAAATATCTTATTAAAAACTCTTACCTTAAAAATTTAGATATTTCGCACCGGCAACTCGCTTCTCTCCGCCTTAGCTCGCGCGCAGGAAAAGAATTGAAGAAATGAAAGGAAACGGGTGAGTTTTATAAAAATTCAGTGGGTCTCACATCTTTTTTTTTATATTATTTCTTCTTTCCTCTCTCTTCCCTTTTTTTTTATTATTTTATGTAATCATGACACGGCACTGAAAGCAATTTATTCTTTTTCTTTCCCTTTTTTTTAATACGTTTTCCCTTTTTTTATTATAATAATAATTTAATAATATTTTTTTAAATTTTTTTAGAATTATATCCTAAGTTAGATTTAATAATCATCTCTTACAAATTTTCTTACCTCTAAATATTATTTTTTTTAAATTTCTATTGACTCAAATTAACTATTAAAATTTAAATTGGGATGTTATACATTACACATATATATTTATATACACGCATATTTATATACAAATATATTAAAATAATAGATTACTAACAGGAATCAAATTAAGATTTCAGGTAAGATAATTTATCATTGACTTCTTTTGTAGTTCTATGCATCTTTCAAACACTTTATTCCACAAAATGTAAATGTATTTCAATCTTGTATTGATCTTACATTGCACAACAATTTGTTCCCAGTACTTGTAAAAATCATGACAAGATAACCATGATACACGCAAGTTTCAGATGGTACCTAATAGAACATCACACGCAAAATAATTTAATCCAATCCCAAATGATGAAGCAGGTCAAATTCTTGCTGGATTCCTTTATGATGACATGCAAACACATCTATAAACAGCTATAGAACTCTTCAAATAAAAACAAAGATCCTGGTAAAATAGTAATGCGGTATATCCTTTATCAATCCTTTCACAAAAATCTCACTAAAAAAATGCTTGAATGCAAAAGAAAGAGCCATAATTAATCTCTCTCCAAGATATACAATTCTAGCATTCAAATAATGAATTATCTATTCTACTATAAATGCTACATACCCCACCACATACACACATATCTTTCGTTACATGTGCATCCAAAGAAGAGATCAACTTTCTTTTCATATTCTTAGCCCTGGACTAATCATTCTAACAAGTTTAAAGACTATATTTCCAATCTTTACATACTAACATAGCATTCAGGTGCTGCAAATCCTAAGTATATATCATTAGTAGAGTTCTGAGCGTGCGACTTTTCTTGCAAGTTTATGGATACCAACTCATATCACTGAACACAACCATATACATTCATCCTTTATGTTAAGAACTATAATATCATTATGGTACCGTAATAGGATCATTGTAGCCAAATATACATATATTTTCTCCACAAGCGGCAGTTTAACACACAAATAATATTTATTAACAAGCAAGATAACGTTCACACCAAAGCCTTTTTCTCAATCAAGGGCTAGCCAGATCTCTAATGGTGATAATGGATGCCCCACTGTCATCGGCGACAACGAAAAAAAAAACGATGGAGAGGAAAGATAGGGTTCAGGTTTGGGAAATTAACTCAGGCTCTCTCTCAATCACGACTAAGTGCTTGTTTGGTTCAAGAGGAAGGGAGGAAAAGGAAGAGAAAATGAGAGGAGAGGAGAGAAGGGAGGGGAGGGGAACTCCCCCCCAATTTGGAGAAAAGGTTTTGAAGGGGAGGGGAGGGGCTTTATTTGTCTTTGGTAAAAGAAGAGTGTGTTAGTTAGATAGCTTTATTTGTCTTTGGTAAAAGAAGAGTGTTAATGTTTATTATTATTATTATTATTATTATTATTATTATTATTGAGCAAATTATTATTATTATTATTATTATTATTATTATTATTATTATTATTGAAAACCGAGGTGCCTCCCAAGTCTGAAGTACACATCGCGGTCGAAGTTGGAGAGGTATGCGATGATCTTGAGAAGAGATGTGGAAGTGCATTGTTCCTAGTTGAGGGTTTTGCTAAAACCTCTTCGCTGTCTTCTTCTTCATAGCTCTCTGTAATTTCGAAATGAATGCACTGCGCCGAGCATCACGAGTGCTTGCTTCTTCGGCCACTGCGACGGAACGCCTTGTTTCACATCCCACAGCCTTCATTCCTCAGTCCTATGCTACTGCCGCCCCTCGACGGAGATCCAAACGCGTCGAAGAACCTTCGGCCCCTTCAAAAGACGTCGCCGTTTCTGAAAGACAGAGGCCCACAGAGATTCCGTATCAGCCCAGGGCTGCCAATTTCGTCAACCTCATTGGTCAAATCCATATGCCAGTTCAGCTTCAAACTTCTCCCGATGGCAAGACTTGGGCTACCACCGTTATTATACGGGAGCTCACTTCTGATTCTTCCCATCTTTGGTAGGTAAACTTCTGTTTTCCATGCCCTCACTGAGATGCATATTGTTAAAAATAAAAAATAAAAAATTGTGTGGTTTCGATGGTAGTTTTATTAATATTTCAATGCATATCTGTCGTTTATGTTAGTTGAAATCATCTATCATGATGTGAACACCATTATTTACTCAGTAAATATATGTGCCACATTGGTGAAAATACTATTGGTTCATGATTCATTTTCTTTTTATTGACGGGTAGCTCTAAGTGATGCAGTGTTCTATAGAATTATTGGCACAAGTTGAAGCCATGGAAAAATTGATAGATGAGGTATATCATACCATAATAAATAGATTCCAAGTTTCGCAACAGTGGGAGTATTTCTTGCTTTTTAACAACTAGCTAAAGTTGATTAATAGGAAAATGATTTAGATAAAGGGCATGTCCTAATGCGTGTTTCCTACTTGTTCTTCATCGGATAAGTTCTTACATTTGTAGGAATTGTCAGATTCATGCTCTAAAACCAAATTGATACTGGACATTCATTTATTTAAGGCCAACACTGATTACATTGTTCTAAAACTCAAATGTTTCAATGTGTCGGAAGATTAGCTAAGTTGTCTAAAGGCCAACATTGATTACATTGTTCTTATATTAGGAGATACATGAGGTGAAGTTATATCTTATTACAAGTTATATAACTGGTGTCTAAATCTAATTTCTTCTTTTATCTGAAAATTGTTTTAATTTTTTTTTGGTACTTGCTACATCAATTTAGTCATGGAAATGTTGAAATATGGTCATCAGGATTCTCTTTAGTTCCATCCACTTTTGAGTTCATATCTGTTTCCTTTCTCATTATATAAGGATTCCAGTAAAATTTGAGGGGGATTTGGCTCATGTTGCTGCTTGCCATCTGAAACAAAATGACTACATACATATTGCTGGAGAGCTCAGTGCAGGTTCATCTTATTCAAATGAAAGTAAAGGCCAAAGCAATGTTCAGGTATATTCCAATCGGAACCCTTATGTTCACGTGCAATATTGGATGCCATAATTAATTGTGACTGTGGAAGTTGTTGAATAAGATCTCTTGATTAACAATTTTTTCAAAGGTTTAGTTGTTGATAGAGCACAATAGCATTGTGCAATCCATGTAGGTGACCCCACCTATTGGGATAAGGCTTGTTATTGTCATTGTCTATTAGAGTAAGTTTTAATTTTGCAACTTTTGAAGCTATTTGTGTTGTCATAATTTAAGTTGATCTCATATTTGTTTACCAATGGAGATAACAAGAAAGTTACCATTTGTTCAATACGTTTATCTCATGCATTTGGGGCCCTATTACACATGCTTGAAAGCTGTTAGATTGAATATATCATGTTCACGTCTTTGGTTTAATCATATTAGGTTTTGGCACAAAGCCTCAACTTTGTCCATGGATATCCTTTAGTGAAGGAAATATCTGCAGCTTCAAAGCAACAGGGAATCTCAGATTCATCTGGTAATCTGTTGCTTCTGGTTAATATTGCTCTCTCTTGATATGGAAAATTGGGGATGAGATGAAAATAATAAGAATATGCAAGCAGTTAGAATCAAATATTCCAAATATTTAATATTGTAGCATGGGTCATTAGCATCAAATGTATGTGTACTAGTATTAGCAATACTGTATAATATACAATATTATAGTAGCATGAAGCAAGACAGTTGGACAAAATAGCATGTATATGTTACAGTCAATAATTATTATTTTCTTATGTTGAGGAATCATGTTTTTATGAATGCTTGTGACAATTGCAAAGCCCTTTCTTTTGTGAAGATTTGTTTATGGATGTCTTTTCTCACATTTAGTTATCATTAATGCGCAACACAGAGAGTGAATTCTATACCATAAAACTGTCTCACCATTTTTTACTTTGCCATTCCGACATCGCTGTCAAATATTAGGAAAACCAAGACTATATAATGTTGTGATGGTATTAAAATGGCATGACCACTTGTTTGTCTGTCTAAGCTTGTAGCACCATCATCTGCTTTTACATTGAAGTTTGTGCTGTTCTGCTGCTTGGCAATAAAAACGAACATGAAAGTTTTTGACATTATGTTGAGTCTATCTTAGCAAGTGATAAGCTTAACACACTGAGTGATCTAACATTTTTATCTGATTTATAAAGGCCCGTTGTTGTTGTTGTGATTGTTGTGTATATTTACAGACAGCACAAAGAAGAATTCTGGCTGTACAAAGAACTCTGGCTCTGACCCTTTGTTGAGTTCTTGGAGAGAACTTCTGAAAGATCCTAAGCAATGGTGGGATTGCCGTGACAGTAAGCGCAAACAATTGGTAGTGATTGGTGGCCTTTAACTTGTTATTTTTCTCTGACTGATATGTTCTGGGAAGCCTCATTTTTTTTCAAATATATATAATAGGTAAATTTTAAGTTCCCTGATTTCAAGCGCAAGGATGGGACTCTCTCACTGTGGCTTGATAGGGCCCCAATATGGGTTCTTTCTGAACTTGAAGGATTGGAATTTGATGCTTTGATTCTGAAATCCAAGCAAGCAAAGGAACAGAATGGTTCGGATCTGAAATCCAAACAAGGAAATGAACAGAAAGGTCTGTATGAATACACTTCATGTTCTTGTGGTTGGATCTTCCTAATTCTGATGCAACCTAATCATTATTGGTGTGAATAGAGTTAATTTAAACTTCAAAGCTACTCTCAGTTTTTGGCTACTTGAGTTTGTATCTAGATAGAGAAGAATGTGCTTTTTAATTTTTTATAGCCTTGATATGTTCTCTACATTATGTTTGCTGAAAAGTTTAAAGATCTCTGGCACTTTCATTTCCTTATATGTTCATTTTTTTTTCCCATCTTTGCAACATTAATCTCAGGATTCCTCATCTCCTACTACAATCCCCACTTCGCCTGAAAAACATGTGATATGGAATGGAAAGAATTAATATATCGATATCAATATACAATATTTAATCTATAGCAAAACACATGATTCTCAAGACATGAATATTGCAACCTGTTCCTTTGACTATATTCAATGCCATTCTAAGACAATTTTATGTTTCTATATGATCTAAAAGAACCTGAAGGATGATGGCAGACTCCTACTAGGAGTAAGAAACCTATAATATTATTATTGATTTTGTTACCTTTTATATTCATCAGATTTCTTGTTTTATTAGAATTACTTTTTAGATTTAATTTGGATTTGGATTCGATTTGAATAAATGTGATCTTTTAAATTACTTGGGTAAACTTTTATTTAACTATTGAGATCTCTTTAGACTATCTTTTATTATTAGGCTTAGGGTTAGAGCTCTGTAAATAAAGTTAGAGCTTATTTGTTTGTTAGGCCTTTTGGTAAAATGAATAAAATTGAGGATTTTGTGATCAATTTCTCCCTCTGGTTCTCTTCTCCCTCAGTTCATCTGGTTCTCTCTTCTTTATTGCTTCTCTCTCTCTTCCTCTTCTTTGTTGTTTTACATCAATTGGTACCAAAGCCTAGTTGTCTCCCTGCTGTCTCCAGGAAACTCAACGGACCATTACATACATCGTCTATTTTAAATTTACATAGCTCTTGACATTCGATCCAATCCTCCCGCAAGAATCATTGCCAGCATTGACTGTTAATTACTTTGATCACTGAATGGTTTCCCACATCATCCAACTATCTTGAAGTATCAGCAGCTCTACTCTTTGAAGGAGAATTTTTTCAAGCAAGGGAGATGGGAGACTCTAGTAGCCTATTAGGAGTAAGAAATCCTAGAATATTAGATTGATTTTATGATATCTTTTAGATTGTTAGGATTTCTTTCTTTTTTGTTTTAATTAGAATTACCTTTTAGATTTTGATTTGGATTAGGATTTGTTTCGAATAGATGTAATCTTTTATGCTATTAGGGTGAACTTTTATCTAAGTATTGAGACCTATTATCTTTTTATTATTAGGTTCAGGGTTAGAGCTATATAAATAGAGCTTTTTTTTTTTTTTTAGACCTTTTGATGACTTGAATAAAATTGAATATTTGTGATCACTCTCTCCCTCTTGTTCTCTCCTCCCTCAATTCATCTGGTTTCTCTCTCCTTTCTTGCTTCTCTCTCTTCCCCTTTCCCATTCCACATCAAACCCTAATTTTACTAGGACAAATAATTGAAACTTATGGCCTGGGAAATTTTAGCATAAGGCTCAGGTATTCTAATTCAAGACAAGAAATAAATATTCATCCTACGATGGGATATGTTTCCCTAAGAGCCAAATGACTGAATTTAAAACCAGAAATTAATATAAATAAACCATAAATCTCCAATGACAGACTCTGCTTTTCATATTATAAATACGTTATGAATATATGTGAATATGTGATTCTTATTCTTAGTATTCGTTCATGGTACATCAATATGTTTTGAGGTCATGTACTTCCACTTGGTATAGATGATGCAAGTTGGAGAGACGTGGTGGAAAACCCAGATAAATGGTGGGATAATAGATCAAATAAGGTAACCTTGGTTTCTCAGTTATTTTTTTGTTGTTTCATTTTGGTGAAAATTTGCATGACGTTGTTACAGTTGTATAGATAATGCAGAAGGCTTGTTATTGTAATGTCAAACACTCAGTTTATGTATTGGATATTGTTTGTCATTCCTTTTGATTATCAGAAAAATGAAAGATATCCTGACTTCAAGCACAAAGAAACCGGTGAAGCATTGTGGCTTAGTAGTTCCCCAAGTTGGGTATTGCCAAAGTTGCCGCCTGTAAAGGCGAAAAAAGTGAGAACTTAACACCGAACAAAACCTGGTTGGAAGCATTCTCTCTCTCTCTCTGTTTTTTTTTTTTTTGGAGGGAAAATCACTGCAAAGTCCCTCAGAGATTCTAATTTCCATAAGATCCCATGAAATTATACATAAAATTTTTTTAATAAATAAAGGATTTGGGACTTGAGGGTAAGTTGATTCCATGGGACTTTATGGTAATTAGAATTTGTATGAGATTTCCCGTTATACTGATATCTTCAGGATTGATTTGCTCAGGAATCGATGTAGAAACTGTTTCTCATGGGCAATTATGATGATTGTTAGAAGTTTGAGACAATGTTGGATCTCCTGCGCACTTGATGTTAGGTTGATGCATGGGGCAAATGTGAATTCTATTATGATCTTTGCAATTCCAAAGGGAAATGGTTATCAAGTCTGTAGTCTCTCTGACCCCCAACCCCAACTGTGAACAATTTGTACAAGGTTTACGATTGATTTACAGGGAACTAGAGGAAATCTTGTTAATCCAAAAAGAAAAAAGGGAAAAATTACATATAAGTTTGTGGAGCAAATTTATTTATAAATAAATTTTTTGAAATTCAAAAATTTCAGTCAATTCTTTGAGAGATGAGTGTCATTGGAATTTGGAGTGCAAAGGCAATAATGTCATTATTAAAAAATATATTATATCAATCAAGTAATTTATAATTGATTTATTGGCAATCCATAATTTTATATTATTAATTTATATATTCAATTATTAAATTAATTATGCTTTATAAGTTTAAAATTAATTATATACTACTATTTTATTAAAATTTATAATTATCATTTTGACATTTTATAATTATAATTTTATATATGTAATAGTTAAACTGATCATGTATTATTAATAAAATTTAACATTAATTATTTACAACTATCTTTCAGTAATTTACAATTATTTTCAATATTTTAAAATTAAAACTTTACGTATTTAATGTTTAAATTAATTATACATTACTAATAAAGTTTATCATCAATCAATTATAATTACTTTATTAGTAATTTATAATTATTAATTTAATTTTTTACAACTATAATTTTATATATTCAATAGTTAAATTGATTATACATTACAAGTTAGTAATATTTTCTTTACATCTCAATTTCAAGTTACCTTTAAATTTCAAAGGGTTTGACTGTAGTTTATAAATTTTACAAGATTTATTTATTTACATAAATATGCTTCATGAAACTAATATATAACTTTTTTAAAAAAAATTATAGTTTTATTTATCAATCATGCTCGCGCCAATATACCACTGATCATTGATGCTTAAATGTCAGGTTGTATGGTATCTTCATTAAAATTCATACGTGATGTTTTAAAATATTATAGTGTTGTTTTTTTGGGCAAGTAAAAGAGGCCCAATGGCCTAAATAGCGAAACAGGCTAAAATACCATCCTAAAAAAAAAAAGCACCAAACAGAACCCAAAAACGAACCAAGCTTAACTAGGATCAAAGGTTGTCTTTGACTTCTCCATATCCAGCCAAAATGATGCTTCAACTCACGCTGGCACCTCATTCTAGACGCAAAAGGAGATCTGCAAATCCAGGCTTCACTTTGCAAGCAAATCTGCACAATGATTCCCAGTTCGATGAACATGGCTCAAACGAACCTCCCAACTCTACCTAACAACCTCTCAATCTCCATCATCTGATGATCAACAAAGTTTCCAGCCTTCATCTTCCCCTTAAGACGATTCACGATCTCTAACGAGTCTACCTCCACCTGCAACTTTCGGATCCCATGTTCCTATGCTAAGAGAAACCCCTTATATGAACCCCACCATTTTGTTTGCAATGCCGAGCACCACCCCATATATGCTGTGAACCCCCCCCCCCCAAACAACTACTCTCCTTCATGATTTCTTAGCATGCCACCACAACTTGCCCTCCCTGAATACCCTCTACTCATTCTATACATATTGAGTTTTACCCAATCATCAGCATGTCTAACCCACTTCCTCTCCAGACTTCCTTTACCCTTCCCATCAACAAGAAGAGGCGAGGCTTTGACGGTCCAAATTGTTTGAATTTATTGACTCAAATAGAGTTAATGGGAATAGATTAGAGTATCTAAACTTAGGTATAATGAGTATTGGTGTCTTGGATTGTTGGGCACCATTAATATCCAAAAATCTCATTTATTATGGGTGGTTGAAAGATTGTGATGCCATTAATGAGGATTTAAGTGAAGATTGAGGGTTTAAATGTTTGAGATGGTAATGTTGATGAAATTTAACTTGATTAATTATAGTATTTGGCTCTTGGTCACCTATTGGATTGAAAAATTCAAGCTTGAAAGTTAATAGATTGAAGGGTAAACCTTTGACCTCTAAAGGTTTGAGGTAATCGGAGAATCCTTACTTTGGATAGTTATATGTTAATTGATTGTTAAATGTGAATTGTGAATGTTACATGCATGGGTTGATTTTCAATGTGAAAAGCATGGAGTATATGAAAAATTGAATATGCATAAGGTTATTGTGGCTTGAAATGCAAATGCCTAATTAAGATCTTTTTAAATATGAACATGCATATGTCCTTAGAAAAATGAATGTGATGATTATGTGAGATAGATGTGTGTTCATGAGAAATGGATTTTGAGAAAATGATAAGAATACATAATTGGATAGTGTATGGTCGTGAGCCCAACGTGATTGTTGTAATAATGAGTATATGAAAACGAAAAAGTAAAAACGAGTGAGTAATTGATTATGGCATGATTAGTGGCAGGAGTTTGCCTATGGATTGGGAGTAGAGAAAAATCTATATAGTATTTAGGCTACCCTCCGGTGCACTGAGGTATAGCCTTGTCCCATAGTTTGTTGAGGAACTGTCTCATAATTTGTCGAGGGACTAGAACTTAGCTATCTCTACCAGTTTAATGAGAAGAATAGCCTAAGGTATGAGACACCCCAAGGATTTGAGAATGGGAGAAGCCATGGTCCAAGAGTTAGTCTTGTGATCTTTGACAGGGTTACACCTCACAATTGGTGAGTTTGGGTAGTCCAGTCACACGGACAAAGCCCTAGTCAGTGTTATAATCCACAATTTCAGTTTGAGGAAATAAGGAGGATATAAGGTTGGCTGATCATTGCCTAAGTAAATATATGAAGTGTCACACGTTTTAAGTGGTAGCAAATTGCTTGAATAATAGATTATGTCATATATCTGAGAATATGATGACAATACACCTAGTTTGTGAGAGATAAAGAAGTTATTTAATAATAAATGACAAGTTATGATACATGTGAGTTTGTTTTACATACTTGGTTCCTTATGCATGTACTTGGTTTATAATTGATATATAATTGCTTAGGGTAGGTTTAACTTTGGTTACTAAGTAGTTAAACTCACCCCTTTCATTTAACATTTTTCAGGCTCTAGCTCTGGTGCTAAGAGGGAGAAGCCTAAAGAGTCTAGGAATTAGCATATTCCTTTCTGTATGCCTCTAGCTTAGTTTATTTTGTGTAATAACATATGTTCGCTGTAACATCTGAAAAATTTTAACCCTGATTCATTCACCTAATGAGGGTAATTAGTGAGTTAAGGAGGTGTGTGGCCAAAGGGGCTTAACTTGGCATAATTGATGTGATTTCAGCCCTAGAAGTGGGTCCGAATTGATGACAGGCCACCCGGGCAAGGAAAGAAGAAGAAAAAGTGAAAAATTATTTTTTATGCCACATGTTACAACGCTTGGTTGGTTTGCTGTGGTGCACAAAGACAATTTAAACATAACGAGCTCCTCTGTGCCATGTGCCGTAGCGAAAAGCATCGTGTGCCGTGGCGCACGGCCAAAATTTTGATAAATCAGTTCGTGTGCTGCACAAAAACAAAAGAGAAAAGAAGGAAACAAAGAGCTTGACTTTGGCTCCGCTAGGGCACAACATTAGGTACTCTTGAGGCTAGATTGAAACTCCCAAACACCCAAGGTAAGATTATGGTTCCTTCTTCTTCCTTTCTCTCCCTCATTTGTAATGATTTATGGTAGGATTTGAGTTGGGAGATGGATTTTCGATCCATAAGAGTATAGGTTCAATTTCACTGGTTAAAATAAGTATAATAGGAGTTATTTAATGTATTGGAACACCACATTAAGGATTTTAGAAGTGGATGACCCATGGGAGCATTTATTATCCAAAAATTGTCATAAAAATGGTAGTTAGGAGTGTTTAATATGCATTAATAATGGTTTAAGGTGTTACTAATGATAAGGTGCATTGATGAAATTTAATAAGCCATTGGGTATGAATAAGTAGTAATTATGAGTTAGTTAAAAATAATGTATGTGGAGTTTTATGTTAATGAAGCTTTAAAAGTTAGACAATGATGATGTTATTGTGGTTTGAATGTATAGAGGTTCATTTTGGCACCACTCGAGCTTGTTGAAGCTTTGGGAAGTTGGTATAGTGAGGGGTAAACCTTTGACCTCTTAAAAGTTTGAGGTAATCGGGAGAAACTTAATTTTTATAATTATATATTAATTGTATTTGTGAAATGTGATTTATGGGTTAAAATGATTATGTATATTGGCAAGTACTTGATTTGTGAAATGATTTTTGGAAAATAAAACCTTGATTCTATCCCTTGATGTTTTGCTAAATTGATTATGATTTATTACTATGGGTGAAAAATTGTGTTATACTATGTGTTAAATTGTGGAGTGTTGAGTTATGTGAGTTCATGTGTTATAAATCATTTGTCAAAATACATATTATGTGAAATATGTGCATAGTATGATCATTGGCGAGAGTTCACCTAAGGAGAGGAGTAGATTGGCGGAAATCCACATGGTATTGGTAGTAATCGTTAGAATCGAGAACTAGCCGTGGCACCAACCATTGGAATCAGGAGGTAGCCTTGTCCCATGATTGATTCGAGACTGTCCTACTTATTTTATGAAGGATTCAAACCTAAATAGTCTCCACCAGTTCATGAGGCTAGATTAGAGGTATGACATCCCATGGTTGTTAATATCAGGGGAAACCGAATTACATAAGTGAGTGAGTTCACCCTGGCCTAGTAGCTCCTCACAAGTGGAAGGCTGGGTTAGTCCGTGAAGGACATAGCCACATGATAGCAACTAATTTCATGTCAAAGGTAACAGGAGGATATAAGGCTGGTATATGATCATGCATATAAGTCCAGCTGCATGGTTATTAGTTTTATGGTCTGACACATGTTAAGGGTGCATAGTTGTTATTTTTATGACCCTATGTTATGTTCTTGTGAAATAACATGGTATGGTGTTCTATGACAAGCCTGATCATATAGTTATTAGTTTTGTAAATCGTGGCCTAGTGTTATGTGATATATGTGCTTATTTACCTAATTGCATCTATTTACAATTGATATGTAACTGTAAGGGTTAAGTGAAACTTGGTTACTAAATGGTTGTACTCACCTCTCAATTCTCAACATTTTCAAGACCTAGCTCATTAGATCCGAGTTGGGGAAAACATATAAAGGCTTAGGATTGGTGGAGTAATCCTCTATATGCCTCTCTTTTATTACTTTCATGTGAATTTGTTAATGTAA